GTAATATTACGTCAATGAAATGGAAAAATTCCGAAGTATAAAAGTGCTCTTCCGATCTATTTTTAAGTACTCACGATCCTCCTTGTTGTATTATCAATTAATTTGATCAATATTTTACACAAAGATATCGTACGACAGAGCGCATACATTTTATTAAATCAAATCTTCAGAACGTAGAAGTTGCAACAGAAGTGTTTGACTTCCACCCCACATGTTGCCAGTGCTATAGATCGCTACTGGTCCCAGTAGGTAGATGTTTTTCATCGAGCCGCACTAATTAGGAGTCGTGTCGGACGCGGGAGTCTGTATAATTTCTAGAGAAGTTGGCGATGTAATGAGTTCGCAGTTGCCGGCAGATCCGCCCTCAACTAACTATTGACGTACAAAGCGAACTACGAGCAAACTACAGCGTCATATGAATTATTTCCGCTGGGAAATTTCACAGAGTAAAGTTTGCTTTTCGGATACTCTAATTACACAGTGAAATGTTGTCAGTGCATAAAACTGTTTTAATAAGGTATCAAAGATTCGCTGAAGTGTAAATATATATATTAATTAGTCTTCAACAGAAGGACAGCTATGTACCGCGAATGATAAATACAGATCCGTGATCAAAACAAATATTCATTTGGTACACTTTCATTTAAATCAAATAAAATTAAATCCATATTCGATAATGCAAATGTGAATGCATGACAATTACAGGTTATTCATAATTAATAATATGACCGAAACCACATTTAAATCCGATTTTCTGACTGAACGAGCTTTTTAATTACATCGTTCAAACCACAACTCTTGTTTCACTGTTAAAAAGCAATATTTAATCGAAATTGGTCCATGGAGCGGTTGTTTGAACTAGCGATGGCGGCAGGGCGCACAGCGAATTAATTCGGTTCAGTTATATAACATTAAAATTGGAGTCCGCCGAGCGGCCGCAACCGCTCGAAAGGCTTTGCTTCCAATCCCAATAAGCGATTGGCTGCGAGCTCTATGCTGGCGACCAACGTTACACTTCCAAGCCATCTAAAATAGCTCGTTTAAATACGGAGCCGGAGCCGCCGGCTTTTATCGGATCAGACAGTCTAACTTCGGCAGCATCTCTCCTCCCTACTAATTAATTCTGGTGTTTTCTAATTATGAGGCTAGTTTGATATTCCATGCTGTCGGTTTTAAAAAATGGTCGCCCAAACGAAATCACGGGGAAGTATAAAATTGAATTACATGTATTTTACTGAATGAATGTTGGGTGAGACAGTTTCCTAATAAAATAACGCTAGAGCCAGAGCTGAAAGCTATAATTAAATGCGATAGGATAGCCAGCCGCCGAGAGTAATGCATTTTAATTAAATCTTCATCGTCGAGTGTAGCACATTGTGGAAGGAGACGCTTTTCTTTTTTATACTTAGTTCACGTGGTTTTTTATATTAAATGCATGTTGCGTTCTTATGTTTGGTTCACACAGTTGTAAATTCATAAAGCAATGGGAATTGCGTACCCAATATTGTTGTAATAAAATAATATTATGACAAGTCAAAAATAATGAAATTTGTCTGTCTTTGATATGTATTAACAATAACCCTAGCCCCTATGCATTGAAACTCACCATAAGTACTTTCCCAATCATACCAATCGTACCTGATGAAAGTGGCATGGACATGCACGGCATGCCATTTTCATTTGCTCTCGACTGACTCAAGTGCTGGAATTCGCCGCTCGAACCAGTCGCACTCCATTCAGTTTGATATAAAAGTAACAAAAACGTATATGAAACATGAATAGAGTTCGGCACAAAATAAAGCTTAAAAACATTTCAATATTCGTCTCGTTAGGTACTTGTTCGGAACTAGTAGCAACAAGCAACAACTCAATAGAGCTCCCGCCGGGTCGGAGGTACTTGTGCCTACAACATGTCTCTCGTCATAGCAACGTGGAAATTAGACAATGAACTGTGAGAGCGTTAACAGTCGGTACCTGTCTGCAGGGAGGGAGAGGGTGGCCGGGGGTGGCGTGTCCCGGGAAACAAATGATAAGGCGATTACAAAAAAATATATATGTACAGTTTTATGTACAAATAATACGACCAGACAGTCACATGAGGGAACGAATGTAAAAAGATAGGTGGAGGTGGGATCCCGGGATACAGTTTATTTATCCCGGATCTGAGAAGCGAATGTTTTTTGTGATGATAATTGTGAAGGATGTGAGAATGATATTGAAGTGATACAGGATTGTATTTATAATTGGCATTATGCACATTGTACCTATCTACTAATTGGTCAAACCGCAGAAACGATCTGAGAACGTTATATGTAAACGAAGTAAAATTATGCTTACTAGTCACAATAAGCTATGTTGACTATGTGCCTACCATGTTCTAGCGTAAGGCATGCGTTAATGTATGTCACACATGACGTAGCACAGCGTTCGCCTCGCATATAGCTGCTTCACCCAGTTGCCACGGATTACGCGCTCACTGACACATTAAATTAGCCGCATAGCTCTTGTGATCTGGATTGATCTCAGCTTGTCTCAACTGTTATGTATAGTTAGTAAATAACTCCCATCTTATAGGTTTTCATAAATTCTTTAAGATATTTTATATCAAATTTTATTGTTTTTCTAAAACATAAGATAAAAAAATGGTACTCTAAAGTTTCTAAATGTTACGTTCTTTGTCCTCAAACTATGTCTCAACATTCCCCATCTGAATTTTATTCGAGAAACTAAATTAAGCCTTCAGCAACTTTATTACGCCTTTGTTCGTATTTGCACAACTTTGTTATATACTTAATAGCTTTAATACAGCTTTATGTTGACGAGTTTAAGAACATGTAGGTTAGGAGCTTGAACCACGATTGTAAAGCATAAGCGAAATTTCTTCATCGGATTACGTGGAGTATGTAGTGCGAAATGTAATAAGTATTTGTAGGGGGGTGCGGTGTGGGTCGTGGTGGCGGTGGTCGAGCGGCAGAATCAAGGGCGCGCGGCGCGGGGCGGGGACGATCGCCCGGGAGGGATGCTGCGCGCTCGGGACGCGCAGATCGATATCTCGCGTCGCCCGGCAACGCCGCGCTAGACCGAGTGCCTCCCGTACTACAGCCCCCTCGGCCCACCCTGCCCACTACTCGCTTATTTAATACATGCCGTATCTGGGATGCGAGCTTTTTCGTGCTAAATGACAGGGCAACGTAATACGCCGATTCGCAAAGTCACCGCTCTCGTAATGTTCGCGCCATAACTATAGAGTTGTGGTTCCCCTGGCCGAACATAAAACCGCGGAACGATAACGATGACATTGACCTCGTTCCCCGAAGAAAACTTCCATTTTCGTCCGGGCCCAATTTATAGCATCAATGTTCATGTGCGAAAACAATCCTTGGTATTTGAGGCCTACTTAACATACTGTATTACATTTTATACACAAATACTTAGGTAGAATACATATCTGCTTAGAATCTTAGACAAAGGAAGTTACGCATGTAGTACTCTAGGTGTAGGTAATCAGTTGTCCTAGATGCAACCGAGTCGGTTTTATCAAATTTTTAAGTATTAACTATAAACCCTCCCCAAAAAAAGGGCCTTTCAGTAGTGGATGTCTCTCGGCTGATGATAGTGACATCAGTGACATGTTAGTAATAACCATACGGTTATTACTAACCTGGCGCGTAGCTAGGCAAATAGGTAAGTAAATATATCTACAAACGCTATTTCTTGAACATTATTTCACCATCCGTGGCTCGTGATACCACTTATTCTTGTTGTTAAAACTAAAAGAACGATGATATTGTGGAGACAATAATCATTTGACACAGATAAGAACTTTTTTTAGCAATGGCCTGCCGTTAAAATATTATTTGAAATCTGGGAATGCTGCATTGTATAATAATTATTAGGGCCGTTTGATCTTCACTTTCCGAAAATTATGCTAAAGAATGACATTGAGTACAGTTAGTTATATCAAAAACCACATAAATATATTTTTCATAAGAAACGGCGCAGTGAATATTTAAAACAACATATAAAATATTAAGCATTTTTATTGAGAATTAAATATAAATGAAAAATTAAACATAATATTATTTCTTATGTAACTTATACCACATTACATTAAATAAAAAAGTACCTAGATATTTAGAAGTTTAAAAGTGTCATGTAAACGTTTTCGATATATTTTTAAAATAAACACGATGAAGTTGCATACTTCATCGTGTTTATTTTCAATTAAATACAGTGCCAAAAAATAATTCTAAAAATCATATCACAGAACCCGGAGCCCTAGCAGATTGCCGGAGCTCTAGCTCGAAGCAAGACTCCTCCTGCGGACGGTAACAACGAACAGGGTGGTATTTAGTCAATAAGAGTCTGACACTCTCTTTCACCTCAATCAAGGCGACAGAAGACGAGTGATTTTGCCACTCACAAAAAACGACATATTAAATTTCTATATTAAAACTAAAACGGGATAAAAATCCAACTTCGTACACAGAAAAAACGAACTATAATAATAATAATAAATAACGCAATAATTATTTCTTAGGTGACTAGACCGAATTACGACAAAGTAAGTACCATACTTAACAATAACATAAAAAGCATTTCCATGATAGTTTTGTCTTTTTATAAACATCTCCCATATTAAATATATAATGTTCATAATTACGTTATCATTTAGACAAAATAAAAGGATACAATAAATGTCGTTACAATATTACAAAACTACGTAACCACAATGAAAGGAAAGTAAGTCAGGAAAAAAATATCAAGATGTTTGGTATGGCAAGGAATGATTTTGATACACAAAGTGCTTGAGATGTGTAAAGTCGATTACACAAAATGTTTAGTCAACAACATGTCAAAAATATAAAAAGGGACAGTAAATAGAAAATCTTTGATCATGATTCTATTTTCGGGGACAACAAAGAAAACAAGGGAAATTACAAGGGCCAATAAATGCCGTGACGAATACAAACATTTTAATGTATTTGTCGTTGAATGTTCTAGAAAGGTAGTTGTGTAAGCAGGGCCACTCCTCGCATGATCCAGTGATCGGGTTCCTGCTCAGTAGGCAGTCGCATGAAGAGGATGTAGTTGGTAGAATGCCCCGTCGTAGACAACACGCCTCTTCTGGCCCCAGTCTTGTATAGAGGGCAGTTATAGAACTCATCAGTCGGCACTTCTTCGCGTTTTAGTGGAATGAGCCATACCTATATGGAAGCCATTGCTCGAGTTACACTTTTATAAATATTAGTTTGTTACACTTCTATGGGCCGAAATTTCAATGCATAATTAAATTATGGCAATGTAACAATTTTAAATATTTGACATTTCTTCCATACTATAAACTATCAAATGTCAATTTTGTTCTACAGTTAAGAATAAATAACTGACGATTGATAAATCGACCCAAATATGTGCACTTTGACGACTGTCAGTTGTTACAAGATTAGATAATGTGCCTACAGGAACTCCATACATCTAATGTCAAAAATCGATCCTTATCCGCAGATTTTAGATAATTACCAGTTACTCAGAACACAATTATTCAAATAAAGTTTAATTGATATGCCATACTAACCGGTGGGAATTCGTCGTACAGTATCTTAGGAATGGACTCGTCAACAATCATTTGATCCATGTTCCAGCGCGCACCTTCCATGTACAGGCCGCGAATGTACACGCCTTCTTGCGGTGGCTCATTAATCTCAAACTGTTTCTGCACCTATTCAGTAGAGTAAAAGTGAATTCTGCGTATTGATAACACAAATTTAAGAAAAAGGTGCGAATAATTTTACACGATAATGTTCAACTGCAAAAGTCAACCAAGAATAGTACCATATATTTTTAGGAATGACACGCATCTATTGGCTGATATAAATATGTACAGAGTGTACAGTCGTTAATCTTCTTTAATGAATAATCAGAATTAATTAAACGAAATTTATCAAACAGTAATAATCCTTTGAAATTGGTTGGAAACCATATTATTAGGTGTCTATTTTAAGTTTGTAATTACTTCGTAGTGGAAGGCGAGCTGATCGATGGGTATCTTGTATTTGCGCGCGTAGCTCTGCTGGGCAGCTGTGAGAAACGCTTGAGGAAAGTAGAAGCCAGATAACCAAAACACCGTCGGGGGCCCGTGCTCGTGCCAGTGCTGACAATAGTATTTATTAAAGTATTTATTATTATAGTATTAGAGATGGTAAGTAAACCCTTAAACTTTTTGTTAAATATCCTTAAAATAAGTCTCTAATGTTCTGTATTGTATTCCATTACAGAACACAATGCATAAATGTGACGGTAGGTACTATTTGTCAGTACCAACAATCCGAATACTAAATAATTTTGTCGTAATACTTTTATATTCATAACGTAGTAGGTACCGAAATAAAACCAGCCAACATTCGCGTGGGTCACTCATGTGGATGTATCACACGACTGGCTTCAGACTCAGATGTGTATGTGCACGCGTGCATGAGTATTAAGCGGGCACGGTTCCAAGAATATTCTGAATCGCAATGTTTTTGAAAAGGAAAGCGGTAGGTAGTACCTACTTGTGGTTTTCGTCTAGTCTGGTGACTGACCACATTTGAATGTTATACTTAGAAACATTTATGAAGTAAAATACCAAAATATTTTTCTACCTTAATTTTATAACTAAACTCATCGACGCCTCACCCTATAGACTCCGCATTGAGAGCAAACAAAGACTTTGCAAAAACACAGTAGACTTATGGGTCTTCTGTCAATACGCATGCGCAACAACCAATACACCCAATTCATTATCGACCAAGTCTGTGATCCCTGAACTGTTTCTATCACTCCTGTTTTTATTGAGACAAATTTTGAAGCTCTCTTTGTACGTCATTCAGGAACGAAATACAAGTAAACGGCCTAAGTAAAAAAAGCATGGCTCCTTACCCAATTAAATAATATTGAAAAAAAAATTAATTGAAATGTAAAGCATTGAATTTACCAAAATGATTCGTCTTAGAACTAAAATAATTTAAAATAACTTGGAATTGTTGACAGATATTTTGTTGTCATCCGGAAAGCAGAATGTATTTTTTTTTTGAAACCGTATCAATGTCGTTTCTTCCTCGTTCTTCTCCTTTTGAAAATACATTTTGGAACGAGCACCTAGTTTCACTAATAATCCAATTTAACGTTTCAAAAGTGCCTAATCACGGATTAATTGAATTAAAATGCTTTGACTTTGATTTCGACATCTCTTTCTTCCACCTAAATTATTTTTGTTTTACTTTTCTTTCATGACATGCAAAATTGCGTTACCTAGCAACGCAGCACTAGTGATTTGCCATTGATGATTATCTTTATAATTACAAAGTCGATCGATCAACATGAAATAAAATCAAGATTTTAATTATTATAATTTATAGTTATTTTAGTTTTTTATTTACAAATATTTCTGTTTGTTTTATTATAACCTTTAATAGTAATAAACGCAATAAATTTATTGAATGTGCTGCCACAACATATTTTTCTTCCGTCTATTTGATAGTCAATCGATTACATTACATCAGACAAATTACATCATTAGATTTCCAATCACTACCCCTTGGGCCCTAGTCCCGCACCCCTCAATGTTATCTTCGTAGAAATTAGGCAATGATATATATACCTATAGTATATGATATGATGTCGATGGCTAAACCTATACAAGAAGTCCTTGCCTATTTTATTTGTTACATTTACACATGTTACCTGTAAGAACTTGAGCCTCTCCAACAAATCATCAAAGTAAGAGGCGAATGGTTTAAGCGAAGGATAGCTTTTGCCTGCCCACAGCTCGGGAATACGGCCGCGCACCATACTCGTCAACACTTCTTCTGTTATATCGTTTAAAACGCTCACACCTGTGTCAAAATAAAATATATACAGTAAATAAGATCCGCCATACAATAAGTTTCCGTGATAAGAAATAATTGGCCATATTGTATTTTTTTTATTTTTTATTTAGACTTGTTACAAAAATCACATGTACATGTGGACTTAATGCTTTGGGCATTGTCTAAGAGTCGATCATTACGTGATGCCAGTGGCGTGCACAGGTTTATGAGACAGGGTAGGCAACTAAATATCGTATGATTAAACCCCCCCCCCCCGCCGGTCATACAATCATGCTCACACAAGACAGGTACATGTATTTACATAATACATTTCGAAAAGTGCGTTCAAGAATATTGTGGTTTATTCTTTCGCCAAATTACATACACTGACATCTCGCGTATTTTTCGTGAAGTACTTCATCAGCTATTGAATAAGCCAACAAAACTTACAAATAATGAAGGATCTATTATTTATTTTAATAATGAAGCATAAATTTGATGAACCAAATTTCATTATGGAATTGTTAAGTTTAATCAATCTGTTCAAAATCATAATTATACATATTACGAATTTAAGAGCGTAGGTACCTACATTATGTCAACAAACAAAACAATAACAAGCGCGGCCGGCTGTGGCCGAGCCGAGTCTATGCGGTTTTTAGTTTATTACATTACATAGTTATTAATAATAAATTAATATGTAAATCAGTACAACCCGAAGTCTAAGTTGATATTTTTAAGAATTATCAAACAATAAACAAGAAAATCAAATAAAAGATCCATTATATAGTACATATTTACATTACCTACCTTTTACTTGGGTCAATAGTCAATCTCGTAACTCGAGTACACCTCTGCCTATGGTCATTACCGGAATCTAGTCCGATAAAGGAGATTTTCTTGCGAAATCTTACTGTTTTTACTTTCAACAAACACATAAAATTACCTATTATCCACACAAATTTCACAATCGAATAATATAGGTACTTGTACTAGAAACTGATAAACAAATACACTATTTGAAAAACCTACACATATATTTAACTACTACTACACATATTTACGCAACTTTATGTTTAAAACTAATTCCTAATAATTTAAACGAAACATAAACAAAGCGATCGCACATCACATGAAAACAATATGGCCGAAATTGCCGAAAACATTGGAAATGAATTGAAGTCATTACCAATAGTCAATTGAGTGTTTATTATAAAAAAATGTAGCTTAAAAAATAAGGTAATGCAGCGTTTAATTTAAAAAAACCAAAAGTTAATTTAGTAAGTGAAATTAAATTGCGTCATCGTCTTAAACCAATATTTCATACTAAAAAACATTCATTCATATAATTTGAAACGTTTTAAATGGCGCCATCTTGACGTTTCAATAACTTCCTTTTAACTTTTATAATAATAAAGTCAACTCCTCGTTTAAAATTTCTATAAACCGATAACGCGTAAAAAGGTTAAGCTTTAATTAAAACACTTGAAACATATTTGTTAAATACGCATTTATAAAAATACATTCGCATTATATCGAACGAGTTCAGAAGTTTCAACAAACAATTCAATAGATGGCGCTGGTGTACTCCATTCATCAGTGCTTTACGATATACAGATTTTATCAATTTAAAACCTTTTATGATTTAATTGTTTTTAAAAATACAATAACTTGTTGCTGTTTTATTGTTTTAGAATTCTTAATAAAATACGATCGTTTTCCAAGTAATGAACGAACGATCCTCTAATTTTTTAGTTGTCAAAATTTTGTCAATCAAAAGGAATCGTGTAATATAATTATGAATGGTTATTCTGTCACGTGACTATGGTCGTGATCTTCACGCATGCGCGGTGCATACTTTTAGTACATTACTTTTGTGACGTCACAACTGGCAACCAAGATTTAAGGAATAGCAGCGCATGCGTGGTGCGTACGGGGCGCATTCATTGCTTTACAAACAAAGGCGTGCGGTCCGTGTATAGTATATATGTGAATGTATATTTATGTTAGCCGTTTTTTTACAAACTTTTATTATATTATTGAATCTCAATAAATGCGTTTGTACATTTTATGTATGTTATATATTCACGATATTTATAAGTCAGGCAAAGCCTTTTCGCCTGTATGGACTGCACGCCACTGCGTGATGCAGAGATGAAAGTGGCAGGTGGCTAAGTAAATATTAATAATTACATATAAAAAAAAAAACACTTTTTTAAAAGTTTTATGGACAAATGACTTACCCTGCACAGCACCTATCACTGCCCTGGAACTGGACCTTACAACTTTGACCAATCGCTCGTATCGGGCCGCCTCTTGGATGACCACGATAGACATGGGCGTCATGTCAGATGGCTTGATGTCCCCCTCATGCGACGGCCCCGACAGGATCTTGTCGGGCAAGCGAGCTAAAACATCTTCAGCGATGGCCATTGCTTGCATTTCAGGCGTGACTTCTGAATCTCCGGCTGCCGCGGTATCCTGATATATATTTGATAATAATAATTAGTAATAATCTATAGTCCTACCTAGTTTATGAAAGTTTATAAAGAATATAAAAACTCAATGTGCAGTGATTCAATAGTTTTCGTGTCAGTGTAGAAGAGAAAAAAATACTAAAAAAAGTAACTTACTTGATATATTTTCTCCAAATCCTTTTAAGCATAAAAATCAAAATTTTGTTACTAAAACAAATGGTGAAAATGACTAAATAAATGAAACTAATATAAATGTCTTACCGTGCGGTCCTGTCAAGTTGCGCCAGTGAATAATGAAACATAAAAAATACAACATGATATTCAGAATGAAAATACAATAATGAAAAATACGTTTAAAGTACAATAATCCTTACATCTTCCTATTAATTGTTACAAGATTGTACCTCTACATAAAATTATTAAGATTTACTTTAGGATCTTTAATACATTACCATACTAACCAAAAATAGTTGATGAAATATAATATAAAAACTAAGACTGCATTTTAGCAATAAAAATTGTATAATATTATGGAACCTGTGTGAGTATAGCTGTCTCGAGGAGCTCCTCAGCTTCTCGGAAGTGCTTGGTGATGTCTGCGTTTGTGTGGAAGCCGAAAACAGCTGGTGGAGTCGCGGCTGGCAACGAACGCGCGAAGTTCACAAATTCATTGTGCTCCTTCAGAGTAGGTATGTGATAAACACCTGTCAATTACACATAGAATTCTTTACCAACTTAGAGAAATAAATAAGTATTTCTACAAAAATTAATTAATGCTGAAATACCTAACAAACGTCACTGCTGTTGTTCAATGTCTATCGCCTATCGTGCACCGTGAAAAGTAAAGTTCTTTATATGCACCTTTCCCTACTGGAGGAATTAAGGCTGTGTGTTCCGAACGAGTACGTGCGGCGTAGGCGGCGGCCGCGGCTGCTGGTAGTACCGTGCGCACGCACGAACCTCTTGCAGAAGGCACCAATGACGCGAACGTTGCGCATATCGAATGCAATAGCGGACAGTATGGATATATTCTCATGTACACACAACGAGTTCACAAAGGTAGCATATGAGGCTGTTGTTAATAATAACTAAGTTTTAAGGAATTGTACTATAATATCATGTAAATTAAATATAATATTATGTCGAAACACAATAATTTACCTGTTGGGTCCAATGCATAATTATGTTCTTCGATAGCTTTAGGATTGTAAAACTTATATAAGATCGTGTTAAGTGTGCGTCGGTCCCAATCATCGGTCACACGACCACCGTAGTTGCACTCGCCAGTTAGATAACGTAACGCTATGAATTGCACGTCCTGAATAAAAATATGCAATTAAATTCATTTTATTTTATACGTACGGTCGTGACCATTGGCCATACCAAAGCAAGTAACTTCTAATAATATTTTAAAAATTGCACTTCTTAAACTGCACTTAACTTCACTTTCATAATTAAAACAGCTAACACAACCACGAACAATTATTATGTAATTTATACTTTTAGTAATAATTATATATGTGGTTAATTGTAGTGTGTAACTAGGTACCTTCTTTACTTTATAAAAATTGTATGACGTATTGTAATAAAAAATTGTATGACAAGGGCACGGACCAAGAGTCCGTGAAGAATTAATCTGTAATATTATAAAAAAGAAAACCACGAACAACAAAGCTTTCAAGAAAAGAAAACCGCACTCAAATCAGTTCATTCATTCAGGAGCTACGATACTATAGATACATCAAAATTACAACATTCCGCATCTTTGCGCCGAGTGTAAAAATAATATTATTATTTGGGACTTACATCATACTCATTGAGGAACATATAAAGCTGTGTCACGCTAATTCTGAGATCAGTCTCGTTGAATTCGTAGCTAATGTTCCACCCCAGAGGACCGAATTGTCGTCGTTCTTGCACCACCGCGTGGAAGAAACACAGTGCGAATAACAACTTTTTGAAGATCTCCGTCTGCTTGTTACCCTCAAACCATTCGATGTCATTGATAGGGTCGCTACTGTACGAACGTGCGACGTTTGCTCTCAAACCTGTATTTCATGGAAAAAATAACATCCTCAAATTCTTTCAACAATTTTTGTATAATTTAAGGAAAATTGATTACCTTTGGGCGGTTCATTAGTCATTTTGACACCATTTTGTAACACATACACAGGAAAGTGTGCGGCAGGGTATGATGTCAGCCAAAGCCTGAAGTCTGGATGTGTACTATCAGGAGTCAACCCTTCGCAGGTCTGGACAAATTTATTTTTTATTTATAAGCAGTTGACACTTAGAAGCAGAAGTGTTTTATCATGTCGTTTTTACCTTTTCCAGTGTTGGCATCCAACTTTTAGCTAAGTGACAGTTTTGCAATACCACCCATGTGCCACTGCGAACGCCTTCTTCAATGAGCTTAACTGCGATAGGTCCCTGACCTTGACCCAAAGACAGCGAGAACAATCGCGAAGATCCAAAACCCTGATAACGTTTGTAACATTGAAGTGAGAAATAATAATTATTATTATAATGACATGCCACATATTTATAGTATTCAAAGAAAATAATCACTTGGTCATCAGCAAACTTGAGCAGTGTCTCCATAGGATCAGAGCCCGGTGTTAGGACAAACAACAAAGGTATGCAGCAGTGAGAGTCCGCGTATGAAGACGCCAAGTCGAAAAGAGGCGGCTCCACGAATTTACGACCCATTTTAGCTACAAACAATAACGAAAATTAACGGTTTTAAGAGACATAATCGTAATTATTTATTACTTACTTACCTGCAACGTAGTTTTGTACAGCGGGTACCATCATATCCAAACGCATACACCGCAAAACGCACATTTTCTGTAAATGTATAATAGTGTCATTTTGATATTATTGCGAAAAAATTAAATCATATTTTTTATTCAAAATATGATATGACAATTAAGTACGACCTTAAAACCTTTAAGAAAAGAGCGTATTCCTTTTTACCACCTGTGACTCCTCTGGTGTTGCGGGTCTCCATGGGCGGCGCTGATCGCTTACCATCAGGTGATCCGTCTTCTCGTTTGCCTCCTATTCCATAAAAACAACGCCTTGTAACAGCGTCCATATAGATTCCTCATACCTCAAAAATATCAAGTTTCTGGTCCCAAGGTGACGGTAACGGTTGATCTTGTGGATCAGGCGTGTCACAATAATCCTCCCATACTTTGACGTTGCTTATAAAGTGCTCCAAAATACCATGAAACTTAGGAACTTCATTCAGTCTACGGATTTCAAAAAGAAAATCTTCAGGTTTCATAAACAATGTAAATAATAACATATTATTATTACCAACCTATGAATTGTAGAGGTAGTAGGTAATTTCCCTTACCGACTCGTAGTCACACTAGATTATCACACCAGTATGACAAACAGGATTTTTTTTCTCGTTTGTCACACCACTTATTTTTCTACACTATGTATACGATAATTACTAGTGCAGTACCTTTACATTCCAATAAAGTCGATCGGCGTTTGCCGTCCTTCGTTCTTTGGCGAGTTTATAATATTTTCTACTTTTAATTAATAAATAGGTAACATAACATAACATCACGCCTTTTATCCCAAAGGGGTATGCAGAGGTGCCCATTGCGGCACTTAATGCCACTATACAATGTAACACCTACTTGTTCACTATTTATATTATGAGTCCCACGTAATAGGGGGTGAGCCTATTGCTATATACCGGGCACATGTCCAGACTCCGTGCTACTACTGAGATTTTTAAAAACCCAGTAATACTTTGCCCGACCCGGGAATCGAACCCGAGACCCCTTGCCCATCGCACTTGCGACCACTCGGCCAACGAGGCCGTCTAAATAAATAGGTACTAAAGCTCTATGTGGATGTCCAGTGGTTCATATGATAATGCAACCTTATCTAGTAGGTACTGGCCGGTTGTAAATGCAATGCTTGAGTTAATGATCGAGGACGCTCGATAGTTTTCGAGGATACTCGAAGGTGATCGAGGACGCTCGAAAGCGATCGAGGACGCTCGATAGTTTTAGAGGATATTCGAAAGTGATCGAGGACGCTCAAAAGTGATCGAGGATGCTCGATAGATTTCGAGGACGCTCGAAAGTGATCGAGGACGCTCGATGGATTTCGAGGACGCTCGATAGATTTGGAGGACGCTCAAAAGTGATCGAGGACGCTCGATAGATTTCGAGGATGCTCGATAGATTTCGAGGACGCTCGATAGATTTCGAGGACGCTCGATAGATTTCGAGGACGCTCGATAGATTTCGAGGACGCTCGATAAATTTCGAGGACGCTCGATAGTTTTCGAGGACGCTCGAAAGTGATCTAGGACGCTCGATAGATTTCGACGACGCTCGATAGATTTCGAGGACGCTCGATAGTTTTCGAGGACGCTGGAAAGTGATCGAGGACGCTCGATAGACTTCGAGGACGCTCGATAGATTTCGAGGACGCTCGATAGATTTCGAGGACGCTCGATAGATTTCGAGGACGCTCGAAAGTGATCGAGGACGCTCGATAGATTTCGAGGACGCTCGATAGATTTCGAGGATACTCGAAAGTGATCGAGGACGCTCAAAAGTGATCGAGGATGCTCGATAGATTTCGAGGACGCTCGAAATTGATCGAGGACGCTCCATCGATTTCGAGGACGCTCGATAGATTTCGAGGACGCTCAAAAGTGATCGAGGACGCTCGATAGATTTCGAGGACGCTCGAAAGTGATCGAGGACGAGGACGCTCGATAGATTTCGAGGACGCTCGAAAGTGATCGAGGACGCTCGATAGATTTCGAGGACGCTCGATAGATTTCGAGGATACTCGAAAGTGATCGGGACGCTCAAAAGTGATCGAGGATGCTCGATAGATTTCGAGGACGCTCGAAATTGATCGAGGACGCTCCATCGATTTCGAGGACGCTCGATAGATTTCGAGGACGCTCAAAAGTGATCGAGGACGCTCGATAGATTTCGAGGACGCTCGAAAGTGATCGAGGACGCTCGATCGATTTCGAGGACGCTCGATAGATTTCGAGGACGCTCGATAGATTTCGAGGACGGTCGATAGATTTCGAGGACGCTCGATAGTTTTCGAGGACGCTCGAAAGTGATCGAGGACGCTCGATAGATTTCGAGGACGCTTGATAGATTTCGAGGACGCTCGATAGATTTCGAGGACGCTCGATAGATTTCGAGGACGCTCGAAAGTGATCGAGGACGCTTGATAGATTTCGAGGACGCTCGATAGATTTCGAGGACGCTCGATAGATTTCGAGGACGCTCGATAGTTTTCGAGGACGCTCGAAAGTGATCGATGATGCCCGATAGATTTCGAGGATACTCGAAAGTGATCGAGAACGCCCGATAGATTTTGAGGACGCTCGAAAGTGATCGAGGACGCTCGATCGATTTCGAGGACGCTCGATAGATTTCGAGGACGCTCGAAAGTGATCGAGGACGCTCGATAGTTTTCGAGGATACTCGAAAGTGATTGAGGACGCTCGAAAGTGATCGAGGACACTCGATAGATTTCGAGGACGCTCGAAAGTGATCGAGGACGCTCAAAAGTGATCGAGGACGCTCAAAAGTGATCGAGGACGCTCGATAGATTTCGAGGACGCCCGAAAGTGATAGATTTCGAGGACACTCGATAGTTAATTTAATTTAAAGGTTTGCAACATGCCCTTCGCCATCTCATCTTCTGACCACGGCAGGTTACTTCACTTCACTTGTTTCACTATCAGTAAACGTCGACACTTCGCGTGACCACAGGGCCGGGCTTTTCTTTTGTCAACGAATCAGCATTGCCATCCAACGTGGCAATGCTGCCAGCGTTCTGGGCACCTTTCCCATTGATATAGATAGGGATGGATTCTTTTATATAGTTTACTTTTCAAACCAATTGATTTCTCTTTTCGCCATAAACTTAATTATAATAATTGACGCCCTATGAGTTTTTTTTTACTACCTGTTTGTACATATTATTACTATACATAGTTTATTATTACTTTATGTTACACATTTAATTAAATAAAGGCATCAATTTAATAAAAACTTGATAATTTGATGATTTTTAATTTAGCTCTAGGACAGCACTAGTTAAGAATAAATGGTGTAGAAAAATAAGTGGTGTGACAAACGAGAAAAAAAATCCTGTTTGTCATACTGGTGTGAAAATCTGGTGTGACTACGAGTCGGTAAGGGTAATATAATTTCTAGTATCTAATATAAACTGGACTTTATTATTTTATTTTCTATAATTCATTTATATACTTGGAAAAGAAGAAGTTTAGCTTACGCGTTAAACTCAGCCCAAGCTTGTGGGCTGAGAAATTGTACTGGATTTGGTTTAATTTTTTTGGGATGTGCGCCCGACAAGAGGAACATTACGTCACTCCTTTTCACATCTTTCTCTGCCAACATAATCGTGATAGTCAACAGTAACGAAAACACGATTTTATCCTGTAATAATAGAAAAACACGATTTTAACCAGTAAAATAAGTTCTGAACCTCTGAAACTACTAGGCAATATACCTTTTCAATTATAAATTTACCTTTTCAAATAGACTCCTGCATATATTTGCATAGAGAGAGTATGTGAAGTAACGCCTCAGTATCGTCAGGCGTTCGGGAATCTCATCGACTTTCTCAGTATTATCTATCGCCGCCACGAACAAGCCTTCGAACCAGCCCAGTGAGTACTGATACATCGGGTCAATGTGCGCTAACGAAGCTATAACAAACACGTATACACATAAAAATTAAGATAAAAATTATCATGAATTTTGACCTGTAGACGTTAAGCCTCTAAGCGGACCTTTATTTAAATGTTTATAGCAAACATATGAGGATTTTCTTGTATGAGTAATATTGAACTTACCAATAAGGAAAAACAGGTTCGTAGAGTGTTCGGCAATGGGCACGTAGTCGTTACGAGCAACATCAATAGCTGCCTCTGTGATCATGGCCACCTCTTGTTTCTCTTTGATCTCATTCGATGTCTCTTTGGCGGAATTTAAAATCTAAACACAAACAACATTCGATTATTTAAGAAAACATAAGAACTTTTTACATTGGAACAGTCGTGTAATGTGTATAAAACTAATATTTAGGAGCATCGATCTTTTACTTCCCAAAAATTTTTACGCAATCAGTACCTAATTCACTATTCAAGTTACCTGGACAGCCTCTTCATCTTCTAGTAAATGTTCCGAAGTAGAAAGGACTGTCAATATTTTCTTCTCAATTTCCTGTAGAAGCCTTCTATGCTCGGCACCCTGCGTGGTCAGATCTGTCTTGGCTTGTTGCAGGTCAGGTCTCTCTCTGGCCACCACTCGAGATAACAGTTGTGCTTGCAGGCCATCCATAGCCAACATAAAGTTGACCAAAGTCACTCGTACACCTACCTCCGGTAAGTAATGCGGATTCGCTAATTTTGTACTTATGTATAATCTGCAAAATGCCCATTTGTGATTTCATTTGTCGAGTGGCTCTTTAAGTAATTGCTAAGTCATGTTCAATTACAAGTCAAATGTAAATGATTGTTTATTGAGTCTATGTATTGTGTACTTACTTAAAGTCTTTGCTGTATTCAACAATAGTATCACCAATTTTAATGCACAACGCACCACCTTGTCGGAACGTTTGTTGCTGAAGAAGAGGTTCTAACATAGGGTCCAATTCTTCTAATACGTTCTCTAGCAACACCTATAAACAAGTTTAATGAGTAAAACAAGTTCACATTGAACAACTGTAAATTTAAAATCAAATCTGCTTAAGATGTATTTGTTTTTCATACCGGTTGTCCAAATTGAACTGCATTTTCCAAGATGCGTCCCAAGTCAGCTTGTGTCAAACGAGCTATACAGATATTATTTGGCTTCTCCATATTTTTGATCCAACGATTGGCTTGTCCTTGTGGATCAATCATCAAAGGCCAACGTCGTGCTGTCCTGTATCATAGACAAAGGAGATCATTCCGGCTTTATAATTTTTTTGCCATTTCAGAAAGTGCCGACCGACAAAAACATGATACCTATCGTTAAAACTAGTATTTTAAGAGCTACTGAATAGTACTGAACCCTCCAAAGAAATTGCGTCCTGTTATAACATTTTTAAGATGAAGAGGTACACGCTAATGCCAGTAGTCATGACCTAGAAGTCATTCAATGTTTCCAGGTATCATTAGAAAGTAATGAATGAATAAATGATGAATCCTCAAATGTTGCATAATTTCTACATTTTGGATTCTAAAACTTTTGCGCCATATTAAACCATTGCTCCAAAATGGCTATAGTTCTAACAATGCGTACCATTTTTTACGGCCGGCGCTTTTAGAAAAGGCCCAAACAATTATCTCTTTTGCAAAGTACCTACTAATAATAATAATAATAAATAATCTTTATTGTACACCAATTTGAGACAGTATATCAAGGAACAAATAAAGAAAATAGGGTACAAAGGCGGCCTTATCGCTAAAAGCGATATCTACCAGGCAACCTTTGGGTGGATAGAATACTATAGTAGGATATTAAATGAGGTAGTTATAGCTTGGCGTACTGAGGTGCTTATTTATATAATGTAAAAGAGAAAACATTAAAAAACAAATTTATTTACTTTTAATATAGAATTATATACATACATACACATACATACATACATACATACATACATACATACATACATACCTACATACATTCATACATATATACATATACTAATACATACATAAGTACATTTAGAAACAAGATACAATGACAGATAGGTGACACTAGGTGAAGAAACAACAATGAACTACAGTGTGGAGAGATAATGCTCCCTCACGCGTGCCTTGAACGTGACCAGTGACTTTGCTTGTTTTATGGAAGGGGGAAGTGCATTCCACAGTCGAATAGCTCGAACTGTAAACGATTTGTCGTAGGATTTACTCTCATGCTGGGGCATCTCAAGTCTCAGATCTCCCGACGACCGTACTGGTCTAAAATGTGTGTCATGGTAGAACTTGAAACGTTCTTTAAGGTAATATGGCGTAGTAGGATTAAACAGTATATTGTAGAGAAGGGATAGGATATGAGTATTCCGGCGAAGGCGGATCGGCAGCCACTTGAGTTTAGCACGGTATTCGGAAACGTGGTCATATTTTCGTAAGCCAAATATAAACCTTATACAGAAATTTTGGAGTCGCTCAAGTTTATCTAACTGCGCTTCAGTAAGGTCTGGATAGCTGACGTCGGCATAATCAAGAATGGGAAGGAGAAGTGATTGAGCAAGCGCAATTTTGGTAGCGGTTGGTAGAAAGTTTCGAAGTCTACGTAAAGACTTGGCTGACGCAAATATTTTCCGGCTGACCTGCCCCAGTTGCGGTCCCCAAGAAAAGTCTCGATCTATGGTAATGCCTAGATCTTTCACTGAGTCGCTGTATGGTATTATGGTACCGTTAAAAACAATAGGTGGAATCTGCGACCATGTAATTTTGCAACGTAACCGAGGGCTACCGACTACAATGACCTGGGTCTTCGCAGGGTTAACCTTTAAACCGTAAGCCGCGCTCCATTCTGAGATTTGAGCTAAGTCGGTATTCACCATTTTTACCGCCTCGGTGAATTCACCAGGAGGTGCCTGAGAGTAAATTTGCAGATCGTCAGCATACAAGTGGTAGGAAGAAAGAAGTTCATCAGAGATAGAATTTATAAAAATAGCAAAGAGTAGAGGAGAAAGAACGCCCCCTGCGGTACGCCAGCAGTCGTATCAGACCAGGAGGAGTATGAACCTTCAATGGCGACACGCTGCCGGCGGCCAGACAGGTAACTACGAAAGAAATCAATCACAGCCGGCGATATGTTAAGAGAGCCCAGTATTCCAAGTAAGATATCGAAATCAACGGTGTTGAATGCATTGCTAAAATCTAGCAAGGTAAGCAGAGTTAGATTGCCGTTTTCGATACCCGATCGTATGTCGTATGTGATGTTGACAAGTGCTGTAGTGGTACTATGCCCCGGACGGAACCCTGATTGGTAAGGATTGAGGAGACTGTGTTTGGTGAGGAAAGCACTTAGCTGGTTATAGATGAGGCGTTCCAGGACTTTAGAGAGGAAGGGTAAAATGGAAATAGGACGGTAATCAGAAAAGGAGTCTGGGTTTGGTTTTTTGGGAAGAGGAGTGATTTGTGCGTCCTTCCATGCAGAAGGAAAAATGCAGCTAGATAAGGAATAGTTAAGGATATGGCAAATGACAGGAAGGATTTCGTCCAGGACAGGGAGTATCATCTTACGGCTAACACAATCACTCCCCACCGCATTGGAACTAATGGAAACTATACTCTTCCTAACATCACAAGCTGTGAGTTGATTAAAGGAAAATTGTGAATAGTTGGGAGAAGGAAGAGAAGAAAGATAGCTTAAAGTTTTAGTTTTGATAAACCCATTAATATTGGGCGAAGAGGAAAAGTGTTTATTAAGAGATTCAAAGTCCAGGTTTCTAGTAATCCCGTCCCGACGCAGTTTCCCAACTCCCATGGATCTTAGGAATGTCCAGATCTTGGCTGCGTCGCCATTCTCTACAGATTGATGAATGTGGCGGCGTTGTGCATCCCTACACATCTTGTTGCTACGATTTCGAGCTGCAACATACTTCTCGCGGTTCACAGGATTAGGTAGGCGTTTAAATTTCGATTTCGCAGCTTACCTACTGTGTTAAGGAACTATATACTTTTGATAAGATTCTCAAATTGATAGGCTGTTCAATAGGACTGCGTTAGTGCGACTTTAAATCTGAAGGATGTGTCATACATACATGATGATAATGGCACTCTCTACACTGAAGTCATCTGCCGGCAATCCATCAATGTTCCATTGTTGAATGGTGACTGGTTCACCCAGAACCTTGATTAAGCTGTAGTCTAGCTTACAAACAATTCCGCAGTCGGAACATGCTTTGGCCCATGTTTTTATCTAACAGACACAAAGGATTGAAAACAAGTTACAAGAGGTTAGCTGTATGGAGGAGTATTACTTAATAAAAACTTGTAGAAATATACGACGTTTGTCAACCTTTCCTTTTATTTTTGATAAAACTTATTATAAAAATATCCAAATAATTACTAAGAAAACAACTAATATACAAAAGCCAACCATTAAAAGATTTTTTATAAAGAAAGCACCTACTTGTTCATTTCGAAACTGTGCTGTAAACGGTCCAAGATACGCGATGATGCCCGCAGCAATCAATATATCTCCTGAAATAACAATATGAGAACTCTTTACTTTAAGAAACAGTTTATGGACATATTGATAAATATTATATCTATTTGCCTGTGAGTGTATTGTATGTTTCACGGAGATCCTTAGCGATTTGCGTCCATCGTGTTTTTTCTCCGCCCAGACCAGTTATAAGCATTTCAGCTCGTTTCAATTTATTACTGCAATCCATCACCTCATCGTCCAATATTTTTTGTTGACGACTTTGTTCAGCCAAAGCGTCTTCTAGCTTTTTTAATTTTGCTTGTACCTAAAATAAAATGATCTACTGAGAGCTGCTAATTAACAATTTGCCGTTAAGGTTATTATTACTATTATCTAACTGTTTTAGGTACCCACTAGACTTATTTATAAGCTTTTAGCAATGTCTTTACCTCCTTGAGCTGAGCCTGCTTGACAGCGAGGGCGGCACTAGCTTTGTCGTACACTGCTTGTGCAGCCGCCAACCGTTGCTTTTTAGGCGCCACCACCTTCGCAACTTTGTCGTACTTCGTCATTGCAATTACCCACTTGCACATACCTGTTATTTGTTAGTGATTAATTGTAACGATTATAACAGATGTTTGAATGACAACAAGATCCGACAACATAATGTGCTCTTCAAGGTATGCCAGCCAGTAGTGCGACTCTATAACAAACCAATTCGATATCATAGCTCGCATAAGCGAAAGAGCTCATTTTTAAAGTAAACACATTTGAATTCGGTTCCGTAATAAATAAAACTATTGAAGCGAAATGAGATTCGAAACTACACACTTTGTGGTGTATTACAGAATCGCACTGCTGGTAACAAATGATAAAATTTCTTGACCCTAGTCTATTTTTTAATATTACAAGTATATTAATTATTTAAATTAAAAATTCATTTGCAACTTCTGCTCGGACGCGTGAATTGAATCCGCGACACAGCATAGCAGTCGAGTCATCAACCGCTACAACCAGTCACCCAGTCAAAAAAATATCTCTTCTCGATCGCTTGCTTCATTTCTGAAGGTTGTGCCCCTGAAAGGCTTTCATTGCTCTCTATATTATTTCCATATTGTCCTGTTTTCGGCTTTTCATATAATAGATACAGTGAAAATATTGCTATAATATTTTGCTATGATACAGTCTAACAGAATACACTTTATTGTAAAATCAAAATTTTAAGCTCAATTTGTGATCTCACTTTGGAACGTTTCCAAAATAGTTTGAAATGATATTTATTTCTGCAGAAATTGGTTATAATACTTTTTCATGTCATTAAATTACTAGATGAGGGCCGGCTCGTCTAAGCTTTAACCTGGCTTCGTTAAGTAAGTATCATCACTTACCTTCAGCGGCCACTGACACAGTTTTAATCTTTTCAGGCACGAAGCCTTCATCCTGCATGACGGTGGTCATCAATTTCTTCATCACGGGTGGAGGTATGTTATCTTTATCATAGTTCTGTAGGGACTCTAAGAATTTGATGTCGTTTAGGAGTTTCTTCGACGGACCCCAGTAGTCCTCGACAGTCCCCACTCCCGATGGGTTTGGAATCTTATCCGGTTTAACATCCTGTTTTAAATTATTAAGTGTAAGTTTATGTTAGCTTTGTAAAATATCATATTTAACATTAAATATTGCAGGATGCTTGTAATAGTTTCAAACATAAACCACTTTGGTATATTTTTTTAAACCATTAAATGAAACCTAACTACAAATAGTGATAATTCAGAGCATTGTGCAAAACAAAAGGTCAATAACAAAACGGCCATAACTGAGAGTGAAAGCCACTTACCGGGTCATCCTTTAGCAGAGCGGTAAAACATAAAATAATGGAATCACATGTTTAGTCAATTTTACATGTTCATGATTCAGTAATTTTTACGTAACAAAACGTATTTAATCTCAACCTTATTGAGATTTGTTAAAGAATCATGTTTACGTTCATACCATTCATAACCAGCAACATAATGAACAAACATTATTATTAGCAAATTGCACTATTACATGGATAGACCTTTTATCGTAGCTAAAATAATTTAATATTCCATACCGGCTCTGGACAAGTAATTTTTTTCTTTATAACAGTCTCTGAAACAATTTTCATTTCGAGGGACAAAGGATAAAGATTTCTTTACCTTTAGTATACAGATAGCTTCCATCACAATTCGGATACCACGCGGAGGACTCTTCATCGTCTTGATGAAAGTGATATCCTGAGGAGTGAGCGTGTCAAGTGCTGCAAGAGCTGCGTTGAGGATCGGCATCGCCTCAGCGAGATCAGCATCACACTCGTCTTTTATAGCTTGGGCTTCTTGAGCCTATTGACGCCAAAGTTATATTATAATGACAAAGATTTAATGAAAACGTAAAAACTACTCATCAAACTAAGATAAGGAGGATACTGGCCTGTTCTTCTGCAGCTTTTTGATCTACTAATACTTCAGCCTCAACCAATGCCACTGCTTCTTTTTCTTTCTCCACTATAGCTGTAGTCTCAGCTACAGCTTTTGCGCCAGCAGCCAGTTTGGGCTGCAATACTTCCAATGCCTGTTGTAATGCCCCCACTGACTTAGCTGCAATAGCGAGCTGGTCCAGTCCGGTTAAGTAACGCTTCTCTGCTGTTGTTAGCTCTCTAATTTGCGATTTTTACAATCAGAACCGTATTTTAGTACAATAAATAAAATAAATAGTTGAACGAATAACACTAATAAAAGACAGATACTTACAGTCGTTTTTTCGTAAGCAACGACTTAAACATGTTAATCAGCTCCAAGTAGGCGGTAGGTGTGACATAGTTAAATCTCTTGAGACGACTCAAGAATTGCCTCGTGAGCTCCTGAGTGTCGGTGTGGAACACTTGACATAGCTTAATTGCTGTGTCTCGTTCTAGGTCGGTCAGCTCTATGTCTTTCAAAAATCTAGTTGCTACTGCCAACAAAGCATCAGGTGGCCATTCCTGATTACGAGAAAAACATAAAATGAACACTGTATTAGTTTGACACAGTAGGAGTCACAAATGTAGTTGATAAGTCGAGTATCGGACTCACCTGAAACCAGTCAATAGTGCAGCAATTAACGAGTGATGGAAACTTCCTAATGCGAGTGCGCAATGAGGTACCAGCAGGTGACATAGCCAACACAATGTGCAGTTGATCTCGTACTATAGAGACAAAGTAAGCATACAAAGCCGTTGGACTACCGTCTGTCTGAAGTGATTTATCACGCTGCCGATCGATCTGCGCAAAAATAAAGTAACATTTTAGCCTAAGATCATAAAACAAAGTAATTTACCATAAAAAGATTATTAACAGAACTCACAACTCTCATTTTCTCACACAATTCTGCTTTCTCATCAGTATTAAAGATATTTGGTACTTCTCCAGAATTAAGCATATTGTTAACGTCTTCAAGAAATCCCTCTTCTTTGATCTAAAATTTTAAAAAGTCGCGCCAGATTACGGAACACGATAAAGTATGACTTACTTTACAACCAATCCCAAATAAGTGATTTTATGATTTACCTGCGACTCAATGAATAAGAAAACCATGAGCAAATCCGGTGTACTCGTTTTACGCAGTAAAGTTTTCAAGTCTTCTCGCCACTCGGTCTTACCGTAAGTACGGCTCATCTCCACCTGCAAAATTAAATTTCATTTAAAATTATAGAAGAACCGGAACCTAACGATTCTTATATTGTGCCATATATGTAACAAGTTTAAACGATAATTGTAATAGTTGTGACTGTGACGGACCTGGAAGAGATCATACTCGTTGATATGGGCCGCTAGTCGTGTGAGGGACTGTCGCCCCGAGCCGCCCAGCCCGACCAGCAGCGCGTGCGACCGCGGCTGAGTCAACACTCTGCAGATACGAGACACGTGCTCGATCGCAAATCTGTACACAAACATTAATAATAACACCCTCATATTCAACTGCTGCTAAAAACTTACATTAAAATCTTCCCTCCTTTCATAGATCTCCTTTTCTTGTATAGAAATTCGTAAATGCTTAGATAGTGGCTAATTGTTAAACGAAGTTAGTTCTTACGTGAAGAGTACAAGGTTCATTGGCTTCTTAGTCATATTGTTGAACTCAACAAGGAAAGCATCAACCGTCGAGTTCAAATGTTCCAAATTCGTAGTCTCCATATAAAAACGTGTGTCCACTTTCGGATTCGCGAAATCACAGAATATTAGTTTTCGTAGATGTAAATCTGTAATTTTCTGTTGAAAACATTGATTTATTGATTTATTTCACCTGTACGATTAACAATTTTGTGTCATATGTTACGACAGTAAAATGACTTACTTCACCCGGTGACTCAGCAAGTCTGCTCAGCATTTTATCGAAGTCGTCGTTCAAGTGAGCAGAGGTGGCGGCGCGGAGACAGTTTACGAACCAATGGCGGTCCGATTCCTCGACCAATCGGTCACTGAATACGCGCAGACACTCGTGCACCCACAGACGCTTTATCGACTGCAAGTCTGGAGTTACCTCGGGCACCGAAAGCAACACACCCTGATAGGATAAGCAAACATTTTAAGGAATTGTATAAATTTTGTGTACATGTTTCAATATTTTTTTTTATTTAATTATAAATTATAAATGGGCCGCCTCGATCGCAGTGATACCACGGCCTCACAAAAAATCGTCATGAAGCAACGCTTGCGTTGTGTTTCGTCCTGTGAGTGCGGTTACCGGGGGCAGGTTAGGTTAATCTTTTATATTTAGTATTCCTCTTTAATATTTTTATTTTATTAAACCTAATACAATGAGTGTATACAGACAGGTGGACTATGAAGTTCCAAGGCATTAGCCTTAGGCATTGTCTCCCAGCCTTCAAGCAGAGCAGAGATGAAAGTAGCGGGTGATTAAGTACCCTTTGTAAATAGGCAATGTACTAGTAATAATGTCTATGGATGTTACCAATATCACTCTGGAGAAATCTCGCAGGTTGAAAGTGTAATGAGATTTGGACGGTGTAGGGAGTAGATTCATCTTACATTCCTTGTATACTTCCAACGTTCCATTGACCAGTTCCTCGATACAAGGATCAAATTCTTTTGAAAATCCCCTGGAACAAAACATTGACTATAAATAGAGAATTAGGCAACATGAGTAATAAATTGATGATACAAACCTAGTATCCAGATGCCACAGCATAATCCTGCTGAAAATCGTCTGAAGAGTTTCATCGTCAAACTCGTCAATACAGAAGAAAGCAAAGTGGCGGGAAAATCTTGGAGTTATTATTTTAGCTCCAGGCATGGGCTTGCCCATGGCACACATAAACTGAAAATTATGAAATAACATTACAACAAACCTTTAAAACTATTAAATAACTGTTAAAACTGAATCTTATATTTTATCACCTGAACATCAATAAGGTGCATCGCCATGTTAGTCTTCCGATCATACCAGAGTCCCAGATCAATGCCCTGTCGTAGCACTTCGATGGGAGGTTGCGCTCCATATGTTTCTGCTTGAGGCATTGCTACGTCATCTACGAAAACTACAGCGTAACATCCGATAGGCGGACCATATACACCTGATAAGAAATGTTAGAAAGTAGTATTACAGTAGCAAATTGACTCATACATATCAACCGTCGGTGTTTTACCTTTTCTCCTCTTATCCATTTTACCCATGATGATATCTTGAGTCTGATTACAATTAGTTTGTGCAGAGAAAGCCATAATTAGAGCCTTATACACTTTAGTATTAACTCTCTTTACTAGGAAATCCTGAAAAAAATGCTGACTATAACACATAGAAATACAAAAGTTAAGTATTCCTATTCAAACAAGCAATTATGAACATTTTTACAAATACAGGATTATGAACTTTAAACCAATATTCCGTTACGTATAGCAACAGTACGTTTATAAATCCCTATCGTCAAACTAAATTCATCAGATGGCATTTAGAACAGAGCAGTAAATTAACTTAGACAGTTACTCAAATTAAGATACTCACAATGACGTAAGCGGATTTTCCGGTGCCGGTAGGACCAACCATCATGACTAGCTTGTGATGCGTCACCATGAGCTTGAACAGCGCGAGATATCGCACACTGTCCAGTGTCGTCACCAGGATCTGGTTGGGAGGAGTGTCACGGGTGATAGGGGGTGCAGAGTGCACGTCATCAATCCATGGCTTCCATTTACCTTTACCCTAGAAATGGAAATACCATTAAATCTGTGAACTTCTAGTTTCCAATATATATATTTTTACTACAGGAACTATGACAATCGATCGAAAACTTACCTCTTTAATGAACCTATAATCGTAAACCAAACCTTCCTTTGGAATTATAAATATATATTGTTTGTCTGGTTTAGCAATTTGTTTCGGCATGTTCAGAGCAGTTTTAACCTAAAAAAATCCAGACAATTTATAAATAAAGAACTCAGATGAAATATATTACAGAAAAATTAATAATTTCTGTATACCTTGTCAGGAAAATCCTTTTCGAGCAGACCTCTGAAGAGTAAGTCAAATTTAGATCGACCAGCACTTTCTAATGTTGCTCCAATAGACCATATACATGAGAAGAAAAAGACACCCTGAAATTTTAAACTTATTATTGTCGGAGAAGCACTATCAGAAAACTTTATCCAAATATTACAAAACTAGCTTCTGCCAGCGGCTTCGCCCGCGATCTCAGGAGTAAAATGCCTATGTATCACTTCAGACCATAATCTACCTCTGTTCCGAATTTCATTCCGGTCCCTTCAGTGGTTTTAATATGACTGAGTAACAAACATACACATAAACTCACATATTTTCATTTATAATATCGAGTCAAGCTAATTTCAACCATTGGCCTTTCAGTTACAGCGTAATGTCTATGAATGAGTATTGTAAACGTTAGAGTAGACAAATACAATCAGAAATCACCGAATTGCTAAGCTATCGGGAGTTTCACGTGTTATTGTGAGTCAACCATAAAAGATAGACATATGCTGTCGAGGAATATTTTTTATATAATTTTAAGGAGAATATTTCCGTCATATATGATTTCTATGCAGCTTTAACCTACAAGCCTGCACACGCGACGGAAGCTTAAAAAATGGAGTAACTTCTCCCGTTTTCCCAATATTTCCCTTCACTGCTCTGCTCCTTTTGATCGTAGCGTAATGAAAAGTATACTATAACCTGCCCAAGAGTATGAAGAATAATTGTGCCAAATTTCGTTAAAATCCATCGAGTAGTTTTTGTTTCCATAACGAACATACAGACAGACAGACAGACAGACAAAAATTTTACTGATTGCATTTTTGGCATCAGTAGCGATCCCTAACCACCCCTTGATAGTTATTTTTTAAATATATTGTATGTACAGAATTGACCTCTCTACAGATTTATTATAAGTATAGATAGATTAAAAGAAAACTTGTCTTTTACCTCCAGTTGAGCTCGTATATCGAGATCTGATATTTGTTCCAAATATTTTTCATCATAAAAATCGTCCATAAAACAGTCGAAGAGATACATGCACGCTTGAACCAGGTTGGTTCGAGACGTTATGTACATTTGCTAAAACAAAATTATGTGATAAGTCGTAAATTTTCATTTGGTTCTGTTTCATAACCTGTTCCTGTCAAATCTGCTTCACCCTCTGCCAGATGATGGCTGTTCATCAAGTCTTTGACTACCGGTAGATAAGTACTAAAGGCTAATTTTTTGCTAACGATGCACATATACGATGCGCATTAAACCCTTGTAGGGTTTCTGGTTGAAAATCATTACTATCTTTAAGACACAATATTCTTTACCTTAACTAATCCAGAAAGTTCGACAAGCCAGAGAAGCGGTGACATGAACCGATTGAATAGATTCCGTATAAGATTACGATTGACTATGTGCAGCGTGGGAGGCAGCTTGTTCAGCCAGGATTCCAACAGCGCCTTCCAGCCAAGTCCTTTAGGCTCTAAGTAGATCATACCACATCGCGATACCTGGGTCAATATTACGAATTTAGTTATATTGAAAACTTAAAGGCAATAGCAAAAAAATTATTCTCAAATACAAGGAAGATTAAATTTAACTGTGGGAGAGCCATGCTTCGGCACGATTGGGCCGACAGACTGGAAACTACGGCCTCACAGAAAATGTATGATTAGGTTACCGGAAGCCCAATCAGCCCCCCCCCCCCTCCTCAATATCCCCCATCTCCAAATCCCCAATCCTTAAATTCCTAATCCCCCAATCGACAACGCCCTTGTAACGCCTCTGGTGTTTCAAAAAACAATAACTTTCATATGATTCTCAAATCCAAATTAGCACCAAAAACACTTTTATATAAATTTTCTTATTTATAAATAAACTTTCTAATAATTATACACTTGGGTGATGCGTGAGCAAAAATTCATCACTTAATGATAAGGCTTACCGTAGCTGGCGAGGCCGCTTCTAAATCCATGGGTTCAAAGATGAGATTGGTAGTGGGTGCCAGCTGTATGATCTCACCACTCATCAGACATAGCTTCTTGTTGTCATCAAGCACTGTGTTCAGATTCTCTATCCATATCGCATCCACAGGACCGTCGAATACCAACCACTTTCTATAAATTTAATTGAATAATGTAATTATTACGATTCATGAAAATTAGTTACGTTAAATCTGACACATTTTTAATAAATATCGTTTTGTAATTTTATTAGAGTACAGCCTATGCATTCGCCTTGAAATCGTCCATTGACGAAAGCTTGCGCGTTATGTGGACGTTGGACCATATATAATACTAGCTTTTACCCGCGGCTTCGCTCGCGTCACAAAAGGATAAAAAGTAGCCTATGTGACATATACCAATACACACAGCGCCTTCTATACCAATAATTTCGTTTTCCCTCTAGAATATAAAATTTTTCCGGGATAAAAAGTACCCTATTATTTAATCCAGGCTTCTAACTTCACGTCTGCAAAAATTCAAAGCAATCGGTTTAGTAGTTACGGTGTGAAAGTGGAACAAACAAACAAACTCACTTTCCGATATATAATATTATAGTAAGGATTTTCAGTTAATTAAAACAAAAGACCATACCTATTAGGATTAGTAGAGACGGCAAAGGCTCGGTAACTGACAGCGAGGATGCCGTCAGACCACTCGTGTGACACGGGATCGAACTGCCCGTACAGCTGGCCCATTGTGATCGACTTCGGATTTATTACCGTCCACTCCACTGCTTGCTCATCCATTAAACCCTACAGATTCAACAATTACTCGTGAGCTGAAGTTTAAAAAACTCGATTTATAGACTGACACGATAGCTTTGTGTTGTTTATCATTAAGTTTAAAAACTCGTTTAAATCAACTGAAATAAATTATGGTAATGATAATATGACAAATAAAATGTTGTTGTACTCATATACATAGATAATTATGTACAGATGTATCATAATATGTTCGACTGCCAATACAATTATGAAATATGAAAGAGTAGGTACACAAAGGCCATCATAAAGTTTTACAAAATCACCTACCTTCTCTGAAACGCATTTTAGAGCATGCCCCAGTGCGTGATAGGATTTAGTCTTCCCGGCAAATGGAAATCCGACCAACATCAGTCCATGTCGTACAAGAATCATCTCGTATAATTGCAGTACCTATAAAAGTAATAATAATTTACGCTATTTGTAAAATAACAAATACTTTACTTAAGTTTTCAAACCATTATTTAGTTACCTTTTCTATGAAGAAGTCGTTACATTGTAAGTTGAGTGTCACACAGACCTCCTTAAGACATGAGACTAAATGAGGCAAACCGGCTAATGGAAGCGGCATGCCAGGGAATAAGTCACTGATGATACCCTGCAAAACATAATATTAAATTTTTATCTCTAATCGTTTTATAACTATAGAAAGCAGAATATCAAAACAGTAATCAAACATTGCCCATCGGATTCAACCTATATTGACAAACCATTATGCGAGTGATCAATCTGCTAAAACCGTATCAAACAATGTATGTACAACGAATACCTAGTGCTACACATATAGTAATTAAAAACTCCAGCAAGCTTAGTTGGGGTGAGGTTGGTTAGGCCGGACACCGCCCCGAGCGTCAAAAGCCGAGGGGTCTAGACATTGATTTTTGAAAACACAAAATTGAACATTCATTTGCAGGCACGCTGGCTGCAAAAACAACACTCGCCGCGGGCGTCAATTTTCGTAAAAGCGGGCTCTGGATTGTATACACACTCGTTACAATGGCATCAAACGCGCGCGTGTGTGCGACTGACAGACGCTTTTGGTACCCAACACATTTAACGAATCAATGCGATTCATTTTTATGTATGTACTATCTATAATAATTAATATTGCATCAATTTTTTTGTTTCCATTTTGTTGTCTCATATGTATTGTTGCTCTACAGAGCTTGACGAACGTAAATCTGTCAAAAATCATTTACTAATTAATAAAATACTGAAATTCATCAAAAAAGCATACTCATTTCACAAAGATTGTTACTTAATTTAAAATAAGTTATGTGGAATTTATGTACTTTTGTGTACTTGCAAATGCTAGTACGAAGTTTCAAAATTACCATGAACAATGGTACGTCGTGTTCCAAGAATTTTGGCAGGTTCACATCTTTGATAGAGCGCAGTAGGATTAAGTCTTCAATTTCATCAGGGTAGCGCAGTTTTAGTGCACCAGCAGCACGCAGCACTGACTTCACGGCGCGCATACCTGATATAAAGAATTATTGAATATTACGAAACATTTTAGGTATCTAAAAAAATAACGTAATTTATAAAAAAGTTAAATTACACATTATAAAAATTTACATAAAAAAATACATATTTATTACCATAATCATAATGGAACTGTGAAGAGAGTTGTTCCGAGCACAACTTGTAAGTGGCCACAATCTTAACGGCGAGCGGCTTGGCGTTGAGATAACCGAACGCGTACAATTCGATCTCAGAGATCAGCACGTAATCTGGCACCATCATGGCCACGGAACGGAATAATGCCTGCATCGAAGAAACAATACAAGTTTATAAACAATGGTTTGTGAAAAAGAAAACGTAAAATTATACTAAGTTAATGTTTATACTTTTAGATTATCAGGAAGTTCAGATCGCCCAGCGTAACCAGGATTCATAGTGATGAATGTAGCGCAGGACTTATCTAGCTGCAACAATGTTCCTTCGAACAAAAGTTCTGAAGCTCCAGAGTTGATACCACGCTGGATGGAGAGGATCTGCTGAGCCACTACTGAAAGCACTTCTAGATCGATACGGTTGAACTCGTCGAAGCACGACCATGCACCACAAGACGCCAAACCCTAAGGCAACGGGAAATAAAGAAATATTAGAAAATAGAAATCAGATATTGGGCTTCCTTAGATCACCTTATCCTTAGGTATCATGTTAAAATGTAGCCTTTTTATATTTGAGGGCCCGACGTTTGACCACTATCTCGCCTGGTGGAAAGCGATAATATAGTTTCTTTAACAAAGATGTAGTGTTTGTAATAATTATACTAAAATGGGCATTACATCATTACAGTATTACGTACTTTGAAGAACTTCCCGAGAGCGATATAATCTAGACCATCAGAACAGTTGAATACAACACACTGTTTTGCCACAGCTTTAGCCAAATCTTTCACAGTCTCCGTTTTCCCGGTACCGGCAGGCCCTTCGGGAGCTCCACCTGTGAACATGTTTATGTTACTGTTTACATGTTAAGAGTACATTAACCCTAATCAGTAGTTTAGTTATGAAATACTAAGTAGCAGATTAGTCGGTGCAATAGTTATGGCATATACCTAAGTTAAGATGCAAAGCGCCAAACAAAGTCCTAAAGCATCGGTCAGTAAGCGGAGTTACGACCAGTCTGCCGGTGTTGCCAAGGTACTCATACCCATACATCAGCGTCGAATTTATCATGCGTGTCAACTCCTGCTTTGTTTTATCCTCTTGTTCCTACAAGAAAACAAATAAATAGCTTGCGTAAAACAAATATATGATAGCAGTTGCAGATTCATTTGTGCAGAGCAACACTATTTGTGCCCTTTTTAGACTTAGCTATAGTCATAGACAAGTCCAAAAAGGGTTATATTGATGCATTTGCATCGTTTATTTAAAAAATCGTTTACTTAAAAATAATAGAAGATTGCATTAAGACTTAATGCTCCCATGCATCGGTGTATGTGTGGAACTCATATGACGTATAAAGATGTCGACATATTCAGCTTTATCGTACCTCCCAATAATACCGTATCTGCGAGAGCCAGTTGAAATCATTGTCTTGCTGTACGTCAAGTTCTATGAGCAGCATCAACACGTCTCTTGCATGGACATCTAGCACGACCAACGCTCCTGGAATGACAACAAGTGTGAATCACGTTTGTTTTCAAATAACAACATTTTTTTAAATAACATATCGATTAGTTAGAAATGTATTGTTTTATAGAAAACTAGCTTCTGCACATGACTTCGTACGCGTAATCTCGTTTTCTACCGTTCCTGTCCGATTTTCAGGATCTTTTCTGTCTTGAGACCCTTCTCCTAATAATAACAAATACAACAAAAAAAGAATTAGTGAAATCGGTCCAGCCATTCACGCATGATGCCGTGACCAAGGGAAAAAGGGATTCATTTATATATATATATATAGATATAGATTCGTAAAAGAAAATTTAATGCGATCGAATAAATTACCAAGAGTAATCCTGTTCTGTAAATTGAGCTCGCCGCGGACCAAGTCAACAATTTTAGATATTTGATAGTTACACTTCTCCCAGTAAACCCTCATAGCTGCTATGCTGATATGTATAGCTTCTGTCACTTCTAACGTCCAGAAAGTCATTGCGATACATTGAACCTAGACATAAATTATGTTTTTGCTTTAATAAAAATTTCACTTATTGATAATGTAAAGAAAAGACACATATTATTGCTGTTAAGTAATAATAAAGGCTCAGCAAATGAACTGGGTTAAGTAGCCATTAAATTACTTTGAGTACGGCGGTAAATTTTTGACGTTTCAAAAGTGCCTAATTAATGATTGATTGGAATAAATGCTTTGACTTTGATTTTGAAGTAACACTTACTGTTTGTCCTGGCCAAATTAGCACCCACTGGTCTCGTTGCCGTTGTAAATAATCATCGTATGACAAGGCCACAACATTATGAACTGATGCTTTCATTGATTTTTCCAGTTCTAGAAGCCATTTCTCAACCTACAAGAAAGTTACCATTTTGTTATCAAATATTCTATTATCATTCATTCGCGCGCACATTCAATTACTCGTCTCATCGTAAGAATTTGCGAATGTGTTTTATACGGTGACTTTTTACATGGTCATATACATTTGTACTTTTAGATAATTCGATTTGATGTAAATAATGATGAAGCTGTGTAGCAGGTACTGGTGTTGGAGAGCACCAAAGGCACAATTATATACTTTTAAATTTTACATTCATTTTTATATATAGATTCTATTCTATTATTATTTCTTTATTTTGTATATCTGTCAAGCCTTAAGTTATTATACAAAGGTTTTTTTAGGTTATTAAATTGTCAAAGTATTTGGAATAATATTGACTCACCTGTCCTCTCGCGGCGACTGTATTTATAGACATCGTGAGAGTCACAATCTCTCCCTCTGAAGATCTCATTTGCGTTACCACCATTTCGTCCGTAAAGGTGAGTCTGGCCATACCTTCGAAACATTTCTTGAGGTGAGGCTGCACACTGTTTTAATTTACAAGTACATAAATTAATGATTATACTAGTATGAGAACTCTAGCTTATACACATTAAAAGCATGATTCTTCATTCCCGTAGGAATTCTAGGGAATCGTGTCCTGATGGCCCATGAAGTCTAAACAAATGCCAGTTTTCGCCGAATATTAGTTCGGTAGTGCTTAACTATCAGTCACTAAACCACTCGGTCGGAGAAAGCTTCCCTATTATTGATGATACTAGAAGTCCTCTCCAAATATTTCCAGGACATAAATATTTTTATTAAATAAATGCTAATAAATATTATCTTTCAATTTCCTGCCCAGTTTCATACAGTTTATTATTGTGAATGATATTTCGTCAACCCACCGTGTGGGATCCTTAGTTTCAGACAGAATTTCAAGCAATTCGTCGTTGGACAGGAAGAAGAAACGAGGGAAGTACAAGCGCTTCTTCTCCAGGTACGCGTTCAATCCGCGCTGGACCATCTCCAACAAATTATTGGACTTCTTCAGACGATCCAACATTTTCTCTATCATGATGACATCGAGTACTCTCGGCTCAGTGGAAGCTGCCTTCATAATCTCACGCCACATCTGTGATTTTTTTATGAATCTTAGTTGAGCTTTTCATTTTACTCAATTAATAAGTTACCCTAGTTAATACTCTGGGAATAAATACCTTATCGACAGCACTAAACCGCCGTCCTTCTTCAGGGATCTGTTGTTGGATATCAGGTGAAGAAAAGATTGGTTCTAAGTACATCCAAGTAGCTTGAACCTTTAACCACTCATCAAGAATCTCTTGTAATAAAACGAGTTTGCCCTCCCAATCACTGTACAATTTTACGAAAACGGAATTTTAGTTTCACTTGTAACCTATACAAATACTTGAATTATAATGAGATAAACTTACTGAATGAGGTCTTCAAACGGCTTAATATATGGAGAGTTCTTCATTGTCTGAGTCTTCACAATATGGTCGTCTAATAACAATTGAATTTCATCCACACTTGATAGGATATAGGTTCCGGTATCCCTGTAAATTACAAATCACTTAAAATTTATGCTAACTTTCAGGAGG